GATACGCGTTTGTAGTGACTTACGCGTATGTGTTTGGTGACTACCGGTGGCCTGTCGTGACTACGCAGTGGATGTGTGTGACTACGCACGGGTGTACGCTGACTACGCGTGTTGTGCGTGACTACGCGGTCGTGTGCGTGTCCTCGGGGCGTCGTGTAGCGTGACTACGCGTTCATGTGTACGTTGATTACGCGGGTGTAGCGCTGACTACGCGTGTGGTGCGCTGATACGCGTGTGTACGACTACGCGTGTTCGCCATGTGTGTTGTGACTACGCGTGTGTGTAACGTTGACTTACGCTTTGTGTGCCGTTGACTTACGCCGTTGTGTGCGTGACTACGCGTTTGGTGGTATGACTAGGTTTTTGTAGCGTGATACGCGATGTGTACGTGACTACGCGATGTGTTGTTGCTGACTACGCTGTTGTACGTGACTACGCGGGTGTGCGTGGCTACGACGTGTGTGCGTGACTACGCGTGTGTTGCGTGACTACGCGTTTGATGTATGACTACGCGTGTGCTACGTGGACTACGCCGTGATGTGCTTGACTACTGCGTCGTGTGCGGGGTGACTACGCGATGTAGTTGTGTACGTGGACTACGCGTGTGTAAGCCGTGACTACGCGTGTTGCATACGTGGACTACGCGTGTGTACTCGTGACTACGCGTCGAGCACTTTGTGCGTGACAACGCGCGTCGTGTTATACGGTGGATCCTGTGTTTGTGTGTGACTACGCGTGTGTTTGTGTGTGTACTACGCGTGGCGTGCGGCGGTGACTACGTGTGTGTGCGTGACTAACGCGTAGTGTGCGCTGAACCTACGCGTGTGTACGTGACTACCGCGCGTAGTGTGGGACTACGCGTGGTGTACGTGACTACGAAGCCGTGGCATGTGTGTCTAGCGTGTGGACGTGTGACTACGCGTGCGTGCGCTGACTTACGCGCTGTGTACGGACTACGCGTGTGTAAGCGTGACTACGCCGTGCCCAGCTGTGCGTGAGCTACGCGTGGTGTGATGTGTGTGATATGCGTGTGTGTGTGTGAACTACGGCGTGGTACGTAGATTACGCGTGTGTACGTGAGCTACGCGTGTGTGGCGTGACTACGCGTTGTCGCTGCGTGTCTTACGCGTGCTGTGTACGCTGACTACGCGATGTGTACGTTGACTACGCCGTGTGTACGTGACTTACTGATTGCTTGTGTGTGTGTCTACGCGTGTGTATGTGACTACGCGTGTGTGCGGTGACTACGCGTGTGATGCGTGTCTACGCGTGTGTGCGTGACTACGCGTGTGTGTGTGGACTACGCGTGTGCCGTGCGTGACTACGCCGTGTGTGCGTGATCTACGCGTTGTGTCGTGACTCGCGTGTGTGCATGACTACGCGTGTGTGCGTGACTACGGGTGCTACGTGACTACGCGTGCTGTGCGTGGCTACGCGGTGGTGTGGCGTGATCTACGCGTGTGTGCGGTGCGCTACGCGTGTGTGTGCTGACTACGGCGTGTGTACAGTGACTATCGCTCCCTTGTTTGTGGCGTGACTTACGAGCGTCGTGTGTGGCCTACGCGTGTTGTATGTGACTACGGCCGTGTGTGTGATACGGCGTTTTTTGGGGTGTATGTGACTACGCGTGTCAGTGCGCTGCACTACGCGTTGTGTAGCGTGACGTTCTACGGCGTGATTGGCGTGTGGTGTGTTGGGTGTGTGACTGCTGTGTGTGTGTGTGGGACTAGCGTGCCGTGTACGTGATACGCATGTGTTACTGTGACTTACGCGTGTGTGCGTATGATCTACGAGCGTGTTGCTGACTACGGCGCTGTGTACGTGACTACGCGTGTGTCTGCTGACTATCGTGTTGTGCTCGTGCTGACTACGCGTCGTGTGTGCGTGTGTACGTGACTACGGTAGTGTACCGTGACTCGCGGTGTGTACGTGACTACGCGTGTGCTACGTGACTACGCGCGTCGTACGTGACTGCCGCGTGTGTGCGTGGTCTACGCGTGGAGCTGCTGCGTGACTACGGCTGTGCTGTGTGACTACGGTCGTCGTGCCGCTGACTCGCGGTGTGTACGTGGGATACGGCGTGTGTGCGTGTGTGGGGCCTGTGACTACGCGTATCAGCCTGCAGTGACTACGCGCTGCGCTGGTGCCGTAGTGTCGTGGTGATACGCGTTGTGCGTTGCACTACGGGCGTGCTGTACGTGACTACGCGTGTGGTGCTGTGTGCTGTGTTGACTACGCCGGTATTTGCGTGACTACGCGTCAGTGTGCGTGTGCGTGTGTGTGACTTACGCGTGTGTGCGTGCTTGGGTGTGTGACTACGCGTGGCTGTGTCCGTGTGAACGACGCGTGTGTACGTGACTACGGCGTGTGTGTCACGTGACTACGAGCGTGCTGCTGGTGATACGGAATGTGTACTGTGACTACGCTGTGTGTGCGTGACTACGGGGTCCTGTGTGGCGTGCCTACGGTGTGATACGGGACTACGAGCGTGGTATGTGGACTACGCGTGCTGTACGTTGACTACGGCGTTGTGGTGGCGTGTCTACGCGTGTTGGGTGCCGTGACTACGCGCTGGCCCGCATGGTGCTCCTGTGACTAGTGTCGGCTGTGCGTGACTACGCGTGTGTACGTGGACTAACGGTGTGTGCGGTATGTGTGTGGATAGCGTTTGTGCGTGATACGCCGTGTGTCCGTGTGTGTGTGACTACGCGTGTGTGCTGTGAGTGCCCTGTGTGTATCGCGTGTGTGTGTGTGACTAGCGGCGTATGGTGGCGTGACCTGACGAGCCGTATGTGGTGACTACGGTGTGTATGTGATAGCGCGTGTGGCGTGACTTACGCGTGTGTGCGCTGTCTACGCGGTTGTGTAACGTGGAACTACGCGTCGTGGGCGTGCCTACGCGTGTTTGTACGTGGACTTACGCGTGTGTGCGCTGACTACGCGTGTGCACGTGACCGCGTGGAGGCGTGACGCTGCGTTTGGATGTGTGTATGTGTGTGTGTGTGTGTGTGTGTGTGGTGTGTACTGTGCGGGGGCGCTGAGGTCTGTGTGTGTATATATAATATTGTGTGTGTGTGTGTGTGTCTGTGGCCTGTGTGTGTGTGTGGGTGTCGCTGTGTGTGCGTTGTTCGTGTGGCGTGCCGTGATGTGTGGACCACGTGTTTCGTGGCGCTGACGCGCTGTATGCGTGGACGCACGTGGTGTGCGAGAATCATGTGGCATGAGTGATGGCGCGCCATGTTCATGGAGCGCGCGGTCGTGCGCGTGACTAGCGCGTAGGGCGTGACCGCTGTTTATGTATGATTGTGTTGTTCTGTGCGTGATCGCACGCGCTGTGCCGTGCATTGTTTTGTGTGCGTGCGAGCTGGGCGTGACCGCGCGCTGGCGTGACGCGTATGTGCTGCATGACCTTGCGTCCCGACTTGTGCGTGACTGCGCGATGTGCGATTACTACGCGTGTGCTGTGACTGCGTAGTGTTCGTGCATGGATGTGTATGTGGTTCTGACGCGCGCGTGTGACGTGACCCGCGCGTGTGAGTGACGCTGCCGTGTGGTGACACGGCACAAGCGGTAATACGCCTGCGGCTGTCAGCGGCCACGAAATCAGAACAAACAGAGCGTTATGCGGTTGCGCAGCAGACATCATCTGGCAGCCACGAGACGCTAATTTCAACTAATCGGCGCACAACGCTGCGATTAAAGATAAACTGACCGCCTCCGCCTACACTCGCAACGTACGCCTATTGTTCCATATCGATGCGCGGCCCCATTCCATCGCTCTAGATGTGATTGGGTTACATGGTACCCCGTAGCAACAACAATTAACAGCACGCACGACCGCCGCGCAAGCGCCGCACGGTAGCAAACGCAGGAGTGTTCGAAATATCTGTTCTTATCGCGGTTCAATCGATGAATAGAACTATATGTTTCTCTCTATAACTATAATATATAAATTACGGTTTATTCATATATATTCATATTCATTTATATTCATATATATAATATATAGGCATATATATATATATTAATATATTTATATATATTTCTTTTTCTCGCTCTCGCCTCTTTTCTATTTTCTCTCTCTCTCTCTCTCTTGTCTCTCTCTCTCTTCTCTCTCTCTCTCTCTCTCTCTCTCTCTCTTTAATCTATATACTAATATATATATATATATAATATATATATATATATAGTTTATATCACTCATGTTCTCTCTCTTCTCGCGTCTCGCCCTTCTCGCTTCTCACTCTTTCCTTCTCTCTCTAATTAACTCTCTATGTGTGTGCCCCTCTCTCTCGTGACGTGAATATTTAGTCGTGTACACTGACGGTCTTCCTACCTGGTAGCTGTCTTGAGAAAGGGCGGCGGCGGTATCTGTCACTTGGTATAATAGATGGTTCGTTGTCACTTAACCCGGCGACGCCCCGCTGTATGAACTGTCGGTTCGACAACACCCGCGCCTATCTCTAAACGTAAAAGCGTAAACATCGAAGGCGGCTGATTGGAGCGAGACTCACGTAATAGTGACTGACGTGTCTTAGCGCCAGCGACAAGATTCGGGTTCTTTTTCTCTATTTCGCGTGCGCTCGCTGTTACTCTCACACATGCACGCACACCCACACACTCTTTCTCTCTCTCTCTCTCTCTCTCTCTCTCTCTCTCTCTCTCTCTCACCTACACTCTCTCACGCACGAATGATGTTACGCGCGTATCTTAGTGTGCATTGGAAGTCGACGCGATCGGTCGCATATTTAAATAATTGGCGCGGCAAAGACTTTATAAATAATTACCGCGTTTTATCGTATCGGCGGCGATGGCACGCAACTCTGCAAGCGGCGGAGAGAGATGCTGGCAGCGCGCCCAACGACGCAGACGCGGCGCGTGCACTTGAGCGCCGAGCGCGCATTCGCTACACACATTCGGGGCCGCGAGGAAAAGAGCAGCTGGGAAGTGAATAGCTCTGATCGTTACTTGGCGTGGAGCGCGTCTGACGTACGTACGCAGTGGTGTTAGGCATACACGCATATATATACACATGCACATATACACACGCGCATACACTCACTCATTCACTCGACTCGCCCAGAGCCAGCCAAGCAAGCAGCCACCAGCGTCGGTGCACGAGCGCTCAAACGATTCGTTACTAATTGCCTCTCTCTCTCTCTCTCTTTTGCGCGCGATGTGAGGGCCTCCGGACCGGAGTGTAGCGCCGGCACCACCGACCACATCGTCTGCTAGCCAAATGTATGTATCGCGTGGGCGGAAGGTTGACAACACGCGGCGTGCAGCCGGGCCGCGAGCAGCAGTCGATGCGACAGTGACAGCAAGTCACGATGATGAGCCAGCCGACACTGCAATAGTGCTCGCTTGCTGCTAGGACGCTCTTCGACACACAAACTCATTAAACAACGTCCTGTTAGCTATCCCCGCGTTGCCGTCGCGCTATATTTTGAAACCGTCGTGACGCATGAGATGGGATGATATTTTCCAGCGTCTCCTCAGCCGTTTGACGAGAATACGTTACGTAAATTACACCAGACACGTGTCCTCATCAATCTTCCGCTCCGACGTGCCGGCATTTCGTTTAGGCGACGTTGACTGAGTCGCTGGCAGGCAGCTGTGGTGTTCATCATTGTGACAGTGCGTGCGCTTTTTCCAGTTACCCCGTAGCGCCAAGAGAGGAGGAGAGTGCGAGAGAGCGAGATACCTCGCCTAATCCAGCCATTGTACGCCGACGAAATCAGGAGACTACTACAGTGCATCAGAAGACCTTCTCGAATCCATTACGCTGGATCAGATCTAAGAAAGAGTGCTAGTGGGAAGTGAAGCGCGCTTTGCTGAAAATAAAGAAAATGAAGCGGAACATTGGAGCAACGGCTTGGACTGAGTAGCGAACAGACATCGAGTTATCAGCTGTTGATACAGCGAAATAAACATAATTTGAAGTGACTGGTTTGACGTGTACATTTTACTGCACCTCTGGCCACGCAGTTATAAGCATCATAAAATCGCTGAAAAGCATGTTAACCGCGGAACGCGATCACAAGGGAGCACAATAATGTAGTAATCATATTTCGCAGATTAATGTTTGAGCGGATAAGGAAACTCTTAAACAGAATTTCGAAAAAAGCACAGAGCCTCCTGAGAGACAGCAGACGGACTGACTGTGCAACCCATGGCGTTGTGACCGTACAAAATGGATATCATACTCCGGTCGAACATGGATACCAAGAGTAGACTACTGCTGATGGCTCACATACTGGCCACGTTATGCACTACAGGTGAGTACTAATATAATGCAGGTGCACGACACCTGCTACTGTTCACCTGATTAGCGTAACCGCGGGCGCCGCTTAGTTTTGGTTTAACGCCAGTTCTATGCAAATTGCCGACTCGGTATCAGCTCATCAGGTTATGCGTTCCCGAAACTTCATTACGTAGACTGTTTATAGTAAATGAAGGCGATTGCTCGCGGCATGCTGCCGATAAACGGGCCGCTAAGCTATCTTCGTTAGACAGTCGATTTTTGTGAATAAGAGCGCATACCACTGATAGCTAAATAAACCATTATTATTCATTGATCATTCAATCGGAGTGGATGAATCCGCTTCATATCGTTAGGGCAAGTGATCGCGGGTAATCGTGTGGATTTGCGCGAATAGGACAGTAGCCAATCGGCGAACTGGACTGACAGAGATGCACGTGCGACACATTGGTGCAGTTTGCTTTGATTGCGAAAGTTAATTTCTGCAGTGGAACACAAAAGGTCTGATTACATCAATTGATTGCGTGTGCCTGAGTGTATATATATATACCCACACAAATGCGAGCGCGTGTGCGTGCGTGCGTGTGTGTGTGTGCGCGCGTGTGTGTTCGTGTGTTCGTGTGTGGGAGGGAGGACCGCGCACGAATGCTACCGCGCACGCGTGTGTTTCTCCCTGTGTGCATGTGTGCGTGTACGTGTGTGTTTTGTGTTTGTAGTTGTGAGTGTGGGGAGAGGCTCAAAAGCAAAGTCATAATATGGCCGCATATAGCGGATATACGTTTCAAGCGTTATGCTGATTTTCATTGCTGTCATAGCACAGGTGGATGCAGGCAAATATATGCGCGGCCGGAGTTCACTCGCAATTTTTTTTGATGAACCCGGCAGCGGATGTACGTATACATTAATCCGTTATTACAAAAAGCGGGCGAGTTCTCTGTTCAATACAATTAGGGCTGAATAGCGTGCGAGTCGCGTCTTGTTTCCACGATAGCTGCTGTCCGTCACATCACTCTGATGCCGAGCTACCCTCACCGGTTGCATTCCCTGCTCGTGCAGCGTACTGCCTCCCCTTCTGGTAAGGCTCAATCAATTCTAATTAAATTCATAAAGTGGCACCATAAAAATCTATGCATCTCTAACATGCTTGTTATCAATCGTCCTGACAGACGGCGAGCGACTGAATTAGTTTTCGGCCTAGGCGCATGGATTTTCCCGTCATTATATTGCCCTAGGTTGCGCACGGATGACGGCTATATCCCGCATACATATACTTATTTGCGGATTGTCAAGCAGAGCGACGCAAGTATGCCCGCGAAATAACGTGAAATGAAAATTTTTGCAATCGCGAGTAGACGAGATGATAGACTGCCTCACGGACACTACCGCTGCTGATTATACGACGGCGAAACGAATAAACTGCTTTCTCTCGGCGTGCGTACGCAAGCTCGCCGCTGGGCCGTCATAAGCCGAGGCGTGTCTCTGCATGCAGCAATGTTTCGCGCTTACTAATTATGGCACGCTATCTATACTCGTATATCTGCGGCTCTCGCCCTAGCGGCGAGCCAGCCACCTCGCTCATCGCACCTCGGGGCGACACGACATCGCGCCGAGCAATTAGTGCGCCGGTGCTAAAACGAACGTCGCTAGCAACGCACACCTGTGTCTTTCTACCTATGCGCACGTGGGCTTCAGCAGCTCGCGCCCGCTTTATCTCTCGCTCATTATCGGCTGCGAATGATGAGTCCACCCCGTCCCACACTCTCCCCCTTCTTCTCCCCCGCCGCCGCCGCCGCCGCTGCTGCTGCTGCTGCTGCTGCTGATGATGATGATGACGATGACGAGGAACTGGCGTTGCCTGATTGAGTTTTTTTTGCCATGGGTGTGCTGGGATGCTTCTGGTGCGGTCCGCTCGCTGTTCGCGCCTCTGTGTGGACGCGTCACGCCTGAGCCCTACTACAAAGCTACCCGCGCTGGCTTTCCTGTGTTAAAGCCAGACGTTATTAGGTGCTGTGCAGAGCCAGCCCGCACTCAGTGACAAGCAGATTGGCGTAATTTCCTAAATCCACTTGGCAGCGACGCGGAGAAATAACAGACGACGTGAAATGCCGACGCATTGTCTCCGGCCGAGTTATATTCTCTGCACAGTTTCTCGGCGGCGTGTGTGTCTGTGTGTGCATGTTCGTGCATACCGAGTGTCACCTACTATCGACGCGCGCTTGTACACATACAGATGTACGCACCCACTAACGCACACGCATACGCACCCAAGCAGACCCGCGCACGCACACACACACACACACACGCACACGCACACATGCGCACACACACACACACACACACACACACACCACACCACACTCACACACACCCACACACACTACACACCACACACACACACAACTGACACACACACACAGACACGCGCAACACCTACCATGGACAGACATGTAAATACGAACCGGCTCACGCACGACGCACACTGCACACTCGCACACGCACACGCACACGCCAACACACACGCACACGCTACGACGCACTACGCACACGCACACCGCACACGCACACGTCACCACGCATACGCACACGCACACGCAACACCCACCGTGCACACACAAAACGCTCACAGGCGCAACACCGCTACACACATGCAGCCCACCACACACGCAGACATAAAATGTACACAAATATAAGCACGTACACGCACACACACACACACACACACACACACACAGCACAACACACCACACACACACACACACACACACACTCTTCTCTCTCCGCTCTCTCCTCTCTCTCTCTCACGCACAACACCACACCAACACACACACCACACACACTCTTCTCTCTTCTCTCTCTATCTCTCACGCACACACACACACACGCACACACACACACACACCACACACACATCTGTCTCTCTGCTCTCTTCTCTCACGCCACACACACAACACACGTTGCACACACACACACACACACAACACAACACACACAATACTCACTTTCCACCACACCACACACACACAACACACACACAACACACAACACACACACACACACACACACACACACACACACACACACACACACACACACACACACACACACACACACACACATCGATATACCCACGCGCACACGCGCGCAAGCATACGCACGTACTCACGTATGTTTCCACACATGCACACCGCATGCAAGTATGGGTAAATTTGTTAGAATGACTAATTCCCTTTCTTCCCAGTTTGCCAGCAGCGACTGACCGCCGGTCGAGCATGTTACTTCGTGTACAACACATGCGACGAGCGTGCTGTCACGTTGTAATACGACGGTATACCCTACAACGTATACGCGAATACCGGAGTCGTATATCCACAGCGCTTAACATATGTGGGCGCACGTACCATATTATACGCGAGTATGAAAGGTTTAGCGTAATAGGCTTAAGTGCTATCCGCCTGCAAATCCGTCACGGAAAGTCTAGTTAAAGATGGCAAGGAGACAACGGAAAAAAATACCGGCTTTTAGCGCCGCTACGCGCGTGTACATAAACTAAGTCCTGTTCGCGGCGGGCGGCGGAGGCAGGATCGACTCATCCTGACAAACAGGTCAGGAAGCTATTGCAGCAATGCGTGGCGGTAAGCCTGCTCCATACACACATGTTAGTACTCTCGTACGCTCCTATAATAAGCCCCCGGGGATTGTAGTGTGTGTGTGAGTGTGTGTGTGTGTGTGTGTGTGTGT